CTGGTAACTAACACTACTATTAATACTACCACTGCTACCACTACTACTACCACTACTACTACTACTACTACTACTACTACTACTACTACTACTACTACTACTACTATACTCATACTACTGCTTTCTAATATGACAAACTTTATTATTCCATACTATAATAAACAATGATGGAATTACTAAGAATAACAATCTATGCATATAAATGTATATGTATATATGTCATACACCGAAATAATCTCCCTTTGAAAGAAAAAATAAAGAAGAAAGTAAAAGTCTATTTCAACTGACCAACTACAAAATTTCAACAGTTGTCATCATTAATGAACTAATGAAAGACATTTTTTTTTTAGCATCAACAATAATTCTTTATATTCTCACTACTGATTCTCTTTTCATATCTTTTTTTGTTTCTTTTCTCTTTACTATTTTTTTCTTTCTTTTTTTCTTTTTTTTTTAAATAAAAATAATGATGATGATTAACTGTCAATAGTCAATGTCTTCTTCTCATCAGATAGACATATGAAAATATGTTTATTATATTTTTTTTGTTTGTAATACAGACATTCATTCCTCGTTTACTTCATCTGTATATAATCCTGCTGTGTTTAGTTAATTGTAAATTAAGTGCCATAGATGAAAAAAAAAAACAAAGAGAAGAAAAATAATAAAGAAATGATCTGTCATTTCATATTTGATTCTTTTGTTAACTAATCATATTGTTCTTAGTCTAATGATTATTAACAGTATGCTAATTTTAAATTCAAGACTTGTTTTAGATCATGATGATGAGCATTATAACATTATAAATTCATTTGATATTGTTTACTTGATGAAGCTATAATTTATGGACGAAGCAATTAGATTTAGGATAACAGGTCTTGAATTTCGGCGGGGAAATTCACTCACTCATTCGTCTAAATATCGTCTTGGCATTTTACATGATGTCAGTTCATGATGAGAATCATAAATCTAAATCTTAACCCTTACCATCAACTATAAATCATTGTCTTTATTGTTCAAACTGCTTTATAATCTTTATTTAGCCCTATTAAGTGGCGTCACATAAAGGTCGTCCATAAATTATAATCTCACCATTTACTCGAATCTCCCGATTACTGTTTAGCACTGCGATTGATCAGTCTCTTATTGGTATATATGTATACTGTGCGTATTGCCTCAATATTGACTTAATTCACGAGCATTATAAGCAAAGATGGATAGTGGATAACAGTGGAATCCAGAATGCGCGTTTCGTCCTCTTCGGGACTAATTTAAACTTCACCCCATTACACAAGCAAGTGGCTATCAGGATTCACTAGGTAAGTGGATAATGTTATAGCGTTTGAAGCGAACAGTACTGAGTTTTAGTATCAGAGTGAACATCAACTCTGAGATGCAGGTACATCCAGCTAACGAGTCCCGAATAAGACGAAACGACCATCCTGGATTACAGTATTAGCCACTATTCATCTCTGCTTATAATTATAAAACTATATTTAAGATTTTAACTTGTATATACACCTTACAAATCCAGTCTTTCTTTGTTTAGAATAAATATTGTGGAATTCTCAACTTTAGTTAACTTCTATTTGATAATTTCCTATTGAACTCAACGTAAACAATTCAGACTAAAAAAATAATAGTGTAATCATTTCAATTTTTCAGATTATTATCACTATGCGGAGTTTGTGACTATTGTTGAAGTTCATACTTTATATCACCGAATAATTTTAGTGTGATAATCGAAGAACTATGGACATCTGTCTTATTCTAGTGTCGAACTCTTTAGAACTTCAAATCTATATCCCGAATGCCTTTAGATATCATATTGAATACTTAATCCTTAAGATCATTATCTTAAAGTACAGTGCTACCCAATGTATATATATATATATTGTATCTAACCATAGACTACAATAAATCGATTAGATATAGTAGTCTTAAATGTCTTAATTATAAAAATAGTTTAAAATAATCAATTGTACTGTTGTCAGTATCAAAGATCAACCTTAGAATATAAGAAAAACACCAAGAAGCATAAAACAGTTGACTATTCCACCCTAAGTAATGCAGGATCAAATCTCTTCAAGGCTAGGAATGATAATTTTTATATTATTGATCTGTAATTCAATAATCTAATCACTTCCAGTTTCAACCATTTCTCAGTACAACGAGAATACTGTCAAATATTATCTGTAATATCTCTGTTAGTCCACGTATGTCACTAAGCCTTAAGTATTATTAATCCATAAATCTGTGTCAAAATTAGCCACTAATTATTACAAAGTTGTAGCTGTTTATTTAGATGATTTCCACAGATTACTTTTATTGGAAGGTAGCTTCCTTGTTACAAACCTATTGAATTTAAAAGTGTACAATAATGGATTGCTAATGAACGTTTTAGTGAAATCCATCTAATTTTAATATTTTCAAGTTTCGGATTGGGAATTCAAACCAATACCTAAAATTTTTCTAAGTTATCCTTTTATATAATTAATATACAGTTTAACAAACTTCTAAAATAAGTTAGACTTAACATTATTGAATAGATTTGCATGGTCCGATTCTTTGAGCTAGAGAGCCCCCAAATGCTTTGGTGCAGGTGAGAGTGGGGAGAGTCAGCTCTACCTCTCGAAATGCTCTCAGATGGCCACGTGTATACAGCCATCGCCAGGGAAGTCCTACTCAATGCCTTCTTGTGGCGGGTCTGCTGTTTACGAAACTGAGAGGATGAAAAGCGAATGTCCGACGCTTTAACCGGGTTGGTGGACACGGAGAGTCCACCTAGGGGAGTTGTAACATCCTGATTCTAAACCAACGGTTCACATGGGCTCCAGTATCCTGAGGGAACAAATGGAATATGAACTAATCGTTGGTCACCCACTACCATGGGACTGCATCTCCTTACTTTGCTCCACTGTCTTGTGGACCTGACCTTCGGGTCGAAAGCTCTGGGTGTGGCCTCCTGAGAAAATCACCTGCTTCGGTCTGGGTACCCGGACAGTATCCCAGCTCTCACACAAACCGAATGATTTATGTGACGCATATCTATTTTGTGCCTCCTAGTACTAATGTTTATGTGTTTGAATAAATAAATAAATGAGTTTCGATTGAGATGTTTTCATTCTAGTTTTGAAAAATATCATTGGTGTTTACCTAGTGTAGAGGTGAGTCTTTTATTTTGTAGTTTTGGTAACTATGTTAAGCCCATATAACTTATTCTAGCTTTTGGATAGGCCAGTTTATCCATTCTTCTTGAGTCACATTTTGACCTTGTCAATCATTCGCTTATCAACCTTGACTGTTTTTATGTATGCGTATGTGTGTGCATTGCCTATCCTACTCATCACATATCTGCACGTTATTTTTGTTGAACTATAAATATCGATTGATGCTTTGTTAAATTGAGTTGTCTCACTTGCCTTCTTCAATCTGCTTCACTTTTTCATCTTTGTTTCCTCTCCCTAATTACCTGCACAAATCAATAATGAGTGCATATAATATACATATTCAAAATCCATTCTCGTATTTGACTTATATTCAATCCCATTATTTAATAACGCGGATTAAGTTAATAATTATATACGAGAATAGCCATTCATACGATCCAATTGGAGTCAAATATCGGATCATTAAAATTTATTCCACAAACATAAATCGATTCATTCTAACTTCATTATTTATGTTTGATTATCTTGATAACAAAACAACATAATTTCAATAGTTGAGATCATGAGTCAATTGAAACTAGACCACCATGGAAAACTTGGAAGCACTGGATGGCCGTTTCGTCCTATCGTTCGACTCCTCAGAAGTCCGCATCCACGACCCTGCTTCGCGGGATTAGAATCCAGGACGTACTGGTCTCTTAACCACTAGACCACTGAGCTAGCCGACATCCAATGATGTTAATATCTCACTTCAACTAATTCACGAAATTGAACGACACATCCATCATTGTCTTCAGTGAGTTACTATCTCACAACAGATCCGGTTGAACTCTACTGGTCACTGCTTCTCACTAGAACTCCAGGACATACCTCTTGAAGCCAGTCCAACAATAGGACGAAACGGCCATCCAGTGCTTCCAGGTTTTCTATGGTAGTTTAGCTTCAATTAGCTCATGATCTCAACCATTGAAATTACCATTCAGCTCACAGAACAAAATTTCATCTAAATTAGAAGTTGTATTGTTCTACATTATATTCTTCGTTTTCTATATGATAAAAATCAATAATAAACAAGAGAAAAGAGGAACACAACACAACATAATATACATACATTTATATATTTTCTTTTCACTGTTGTTTCATTGTATCTAAGGTAATCATAATAATAATAAAAGTGTAACAATCACTGGTAAATGTTTGTCAAAAGATTATTTCCCGCTTATTATTTCTACTCAACATAAACATATATATATATATATATATATATATATATATATATATATATATATATATATATATATATATATATATATATATATATATATATATATATATATATATATATATAGAAATATAAAGAAGGTTCGAATAATTTTACATTGTATACATAATTGAATTTATAACTCTTTAAAACATATTGACTCTCAAACGATCCAATACATTTTTATTTATGATGAAATTTTGTTCTTTGAGCTAGATAGTTTGGTCATGGAACTTTCATAGTTCTTCTAAACGATAACATCAGTAAAAACTTCAGATAGAAGTAAAGTTTGAAGTCGTTTAAAAGAACGATGAAAGTTCCATGACTAAACTATCCAACTCAAAGTACAAATCTTTATCATATTCATTAACCTGAACTATAAATCTTCTTCACATTTGTACTTAATTTACACTTGATAGATATACCGGATAAAACTATATGCATACAGATAAGACTAATATTACATACTTATTGTCATCTACAATCAACATATTATATGTAATAAGACAATATGAAGTTTATATGAAATATTATTACACTAAAATGTTTCTTTTTTTTTTCTTTTTTTTGGGGGGGTGTAAATATTAACAAAAGTTGGATTGAAGACATTTTGTATTGTACATCATATCTGTATTCATTAATGATTGTTTATTATGCTTTAATATTAAAGAATGTGGATAATTAATAGATTGACTTAATGGAATTTGTTCATTATGAATAAATGAATTCGATGTTAATGATAATGATAATGATGATGATGATGGTGATGAGGAGGATGATGAGGAAGATACAAGATTTGAATGTTGATAATTCACTGTTGTATTTGTAGTATTGTTCATTGGTATAGATGAATTGTAATAGGTTGATGATTGTATAATTGTAGGTAAATATGATGAAATAGTAGAATGAATTGAATTATGATATTTCATTGTTGAATATAAAGAATTTCGATTAATATCTGAAGGAATTTCATATGAAAGATGTAATGATTTTGATTGAGGTTGTAATTTAGAAAGTATATTTGTTCCAATACTAGTACTATTGATACTACTATTCATAGTATTAGTAGTATTTGTAATAGTAGTAGTGCTATTGGTAGTATTAGAAAGTAGATATTCATTCATTGTATGTGAATTACGTATTCCAATTTGACTATTATTATCATCATCATAATGAACATTTGATAATTGACTATAATGTGGAACTGTTTGTGATGATGATGATGATGACGATGATGGTGTAAGATAAGTATTAGTAGTATAACGAAATAATTCAAAATTTCTTTCATTTGGAATTATATTCAAATTAATATGATTTGTAGATTGTTCACAAATTGAAGAATCATGATTTGAATACGATAAAAATGATGGAATTGATTGAAAGTTATGATGTGATGAATTTAAATAATTCTGTCTAAAATTATGTTTATTTGATACAAGATCACCTTCTACAATATCATTATAATCTTCATCAAATTCACCATTATCATTTTGTTCATCATCATCATCGTCATCACCATCATCGTCATCATCGTCGCCGTCTTCGTCGTTGTTGTCGTCATCATTATCATCATTATTATTATCTTCGTTGTCATTATCACCATCAACTTCATCCTCAACCATCTGTTCATCATTATCATCGTCATCATCTTCTGCTAAAATTGTTTCAACATCATTTGAATCTTTATTATTTTGAAGTTTTTTAGTTGATTTTATTAAATGTTCAATAGATTTATCATTTATATTTGAATTTTGCGCGGAATTTAAATTTATTGGACTTTTCTGTTCTATACTATTATTACTTCCAATTGATTTTGGTGGCCAACTCATTTTATTCTCTTTTTTTAAACGTCTTCTAGCATTTGCAAACCATGTTGAAACCTGATAATTAGATAATACTATGGTTTGTTAATATGAATATAGATTAAACAAAGAATTATAACTAACCGAAGAAGAAGAAGAAGATTGAACAATTACTTATGGTTAGTGATCTAATCAATGAATTCGTCAATTAGGTATACTTGAATCTTAATGTTAATGATCAGAGAGGGATTTGTGTACAATACCTTGCACTTCTAATGATAAATCATTGAACTCTGAATTATTTAGTTCAGATATTCACAAAATTATTTAATAAATATGAAGTTATAGTGAGTGGTACTATGTCAAGCCCTCAAAACTCATTCTGGCTTTTGAACAAATCAATCTATCCATTCTTCTCAAGCTACATTTTCACTTTGTTAATTATTGACTTGTCAATCTTGACTGTTTTAATATAAGCGTATATGTGTGCATTTCTTATCTTATTCATCATATGCTTGTAGCTTGATTAAACTGACTTAGCTCACATGTCTTCCCCACTGCGCGTCATATCACTTCTCTCCCACTTCTTCGCTTTGTTTGCTTCGCCAGTTAGGTCGATAATTTTATATGAGAATTTGGTGGTATGTATATTTTAATAACATTCACACGATTCAATTGATGTCAGATATCGGACCACTAAAGTGATTAGCGCATCGATAACATCGTCCGATCTAATTGACGTCAAAATGAAGGTCTCCACTAAAATGTTTTATATGAAAGTCATAAACTTTCTTTACGTATAAACCGAAATCTCAATTAATAAATAACATTTTTTGTAGAAACTGCAAATTATCAAAATGGTATTTTGAATTCAATTTGATATTTAAATTACGTTTAGAGTTAATGAACGATTGATATGAATTAAAATACACTGAAATATATAATAATTAAATTCATGAGTCAATTGAGGCTAGACCAACATGGAAAACTTGGAAGCAGCGGACGTCCGGTTCATCCTAGAATGGGACTCTTCAACAGTGCGCATCCACGATCTCGCGCGCGAACGCCTAACCTTTAGACCACTGAGCTGGCCGGCATCCAACGGTGTCAATGTCTAGCTTCCATCAATCCATGAAATTGTGTCACCGTCTACCATTGTGTTCAGTGAGTTATTATCTCACAAAAGACCCGGTTGAAATCCACTGATCATGGCTTGTCATCAGAACTTAAGGAAATACTACTTGGAAACTGTCACTAGTGTACATATGATGATTGTAAGCAGAGAAGTGCCGTTTCGTCCTAGTATGGAACTCTTTAACAGTCCGCATCCACAATCCAGGGTAGTCTAGCTTTAATTGACTCATGAACCCAACTATAAAATTACATCTAAAATAGCCTAATCATAACTCTGAACACAACAAAACTGATGGATTGATGTTCAAATCTTACAAGTGTCATCAATTTCCATTAAGGTTATAAATACATCTTACTGTTTAGTTCTAATCAGTATAAAAATCAGGGTTTAAAGTTTCCTTTTCACTAATTCTAACTATTTTACACTAAAACACAATAGTCATTCCATATAACATGGAATATACACATAAATATTTCATCGAATCAACTTACTTGTGTTAATGTCATTTTTGTGATAATAGCAAGCATTATTTTTTCCCCTTTAGTAGGATATGGATTTTTCATATGCTCTTGTAACCAAACTTTTAATGTTGTGGTACTCTCTCTAGTAGCATTTTTACGTCGTGTACCATCAAGACCATAAGTAAATCTAATTAAAATTAAATAAAATAACATTTTATTTTAATAAATTTGTCATATTACTTAAATGAATTCATAATGTTATTTTGTTGTTGTTGTTGTTGTTGTTGTTGATTGAAATACATAAATGCCTATATGCCCTGGTGCGTTCAAAGGTGGGAAGAGTTGACTATCCCTCTCGAAATGCACTCATATGGTTACGCGTATACAGTTACTGTCAGGGAAGTTCTACTTTCTGCCTTCTCATGGCGATGTTATTGTTTACGAAGTTGAGAGGATGAAAAGCGAATCTCCGGCGCTTTAACCTGGTTGGTGGATATGGAGTGTCTATGTAGGGAAGTTGAAAAACACAAACCAAAGTTTCTTATGGGTTCCAGAATTCTGAAGGAAAAAACGGTGTATGAAAATAATTTTGGTTGGCAATGCATCTCCTTTAGTCGCTCCACTGCCTTGTGGATTGTACCTCCAAGTCAAAGGCTCGGAGAGTGACCTCCTAAGAAAACCACCTGCTTCGTTTTGGCAGTCAGGCAGTATTCCAGCCCTTATAAAAGTCGAATGACAAAGTTTGGCGCATATATATTTGGTGTCTCGTTGTACCAATGTTAATGTGTTTAAATAAATGATGATATAATGTATAACATTACTTAGACTGATATCTTTCAAGTTTACCAAATTAGATAAAACTAACTTATAAATATGTGAAATGTATATAGTTTAATTCATTTCAAACTGTTGATCTATTCATTATCCATGAAAACTATCATAATTATATGTACTTGTTTCAAACATTCTCTCAACATATTTAAATAGACATAATTCAAACCATCAGTCAATAGGTTGACTCTAATTTTTTTCATTTCATGTACCAGCAAACATCACACCTCAAACCAAGAGGTGGTTAAAAATTTGCAACCGATTTGTCCTGTTTACCTCATCTACACTGTATCTAACCAATGAATAATACAACTCAATTGATCAATCAGTATAGGGTTGTGGAGATTATTAAGTTATTGATTGAGATCAAGAACCGATTGATGTTAGACCGCCATTGAAGACCTGGAAGCACTGAGTGTCCGTCTCGTACTGTTGCGAGTCTCCTCAACAGTGCGCATCCATAACCGTGACTAGTGAAGTTCAACCGGGTCCATCGTGAAATGATAACTCACTGGGCACAATGGTGGATGTGTTGCTCAATTTCATGGATTACTTGAAGTAAGACATTAACACCATTGAATACCGGCTCAGTCGTCTAGAGGTTAAGCGTTCGGGCGCGAGACTGATAAGTCCTTGGTTCGAATCCCGCGGGCGGGATCGTAGATGCTCACTGCTGTGAAGTCCCACATTAGGACGAAATGGCCATCTGGTGCTTCCAGATTTTCAGTGGTGGTCTAACATTAATCGATTCTTGATCTCAATCAATTAATCGAAGCAATTCTCAGATTCAGATCCTTTGAATTTATTCTTTTATGGAAAAAATATCATATCTGGAGTAACCTATAATCAATGCTATAATCAGCACTAAACGTATCGACCAAGTTTTATTTTCTTACCCATGATGATTTGTATGTCCAATACTAGAACCATTAGTTTGATTGAAATTTCTTAAATGTCCATTATTTAAATAAACTGAATGATGTAAATGAGTATTAGTAGAATTTTGAACTGATCTAGATAAAAGTTGATGGTGATGATGATGATGATTATGATGAGGATGTGGTAAATTCCCACTGAATGGATATGGATTATTATTATTATTACTAGTTTTATTACCATTATTCCGTATATGAAAATGAGGATGTTCTATTGACAAATCATTTGTTGGTATTCGTGGATATATTGACTGTTTTGAATGAGTTGAATTTATAACTTGTGAATAAACATTTACAGTTGGAGGATGAATTGAAGGTATACCACGATATAATGAATTATTTGTTGTCATTATTATATTTGAATTATTCATTTCATTTATTCTTGGATGATCTATCGGTGAATGTGAAGATGATATTGGTGATGATGATGATTGTATTTTATCATTTAATATTTGTGTATTAGGATATTTTATATCACGAGACTCAAAAGTCGATGATGATGACGATGATGATGAAGAAGAAGAAGAGTAATGCTCCATTGTTTTCAGTAAACCCTTTTCAGATAATAATTTATAATCATTTGGTTGGAATTTTTCATAATCCATTATTGTTGTTGTAGTAGTAGTACTAGTAGTAGTAGTAGTAGCAGTAGTAGTAGTAGTATAATTTTTATTATGATTTGTATTATTCTCATTGATACTACTACATGTACCAGTAGTATAAGTAGTATGAGTAGGAAAAAGTGAAATAGTTGTTGGTAATAATACATTTGAATCATAGTGTTTTTTATCAGTATATATATTATTACTAATAATGTTTGTTATACTACATGCATTACTATTATTATTACTACTACTTATTAAATTATTATCAGTAGTATGTTGTTGACTTAGTGATTGTTGTTGTATATGATTAAATAATACTTTAGATGAAAATAATTTATTTAAATATGGTGTATAATTTGAAAATTCTGTTAAATCATTATCATTTTTATGAATTAAATGTAAATCTGTACTTATATTACCATATTGATTTGAATGAACTTCATTCATTTCTCCAATATGTAATTCCATTGGTACTCCTGCTGCTGCTGCTGATGATGATGATGATGATGATGATGTTGTTGTTGTTGATGATGATGATGATGATGTTGATTTAGACGAAACAGATAAATGATCTAATGATGTAGGTATATTTAATTTTGACAGTAATTTATTTTCTGTGATTTCTTGTTCTGAATAATTTGAAGTTGTAATCTCTGAGGTATGATGCATTTCTTTTGGTTGTCTAAAATAAATAGATGATTCATGAAAATCTATTGGTAGTGATGAATGTAATACAGGATCATCATTTGGTTGATGATAAAGATTATAATTAGATTTTTGATAATTAGAAGGATAATTTAAATGATTAGAATATTGTTGTTGTTGTTGTTGTTGTTGATGATGATGATGATCCTGATCATGATGATGTTGATCATGGTGATGGTATAATGAAGTAGGTGTTGAATAATTTAAACTATGTGTTAATCTATCTGATGAAAATACTTCTAAATTGTCCAGTTCATTTTTACCCGGTTCTTTGAATTCTTTATTTGAATGTTGTAAATTAGATGAATTTAAATCATTTAGAAAATGTTTTCCAGTATATCGTAAATTTTGATATGATTTAGGTTGTGAAGGTGTAAATGGAATATTCAATAATTCTTGTTGATATTGTTGTTTGTTACCATGTGCTTCATTTTGGGTTAAATCATTATTTAAATCAGAACATTCCCAAGAATTGTGTTTATTACCATAATCATTTGTCTATTAAGGAAAAAAAAAGAATAGATTTATAATACATAGTAATAGTTTAATTCTCATTGAAAAATAATCTCTTCATAGTTAGAATGAGGGGTTGTGGAGATTGTAGTAAGTTAGACCACCATTGAAAACCTAGAAACAGTAGATGAGTTATGCAAAATCATGGATTGATTGAAGTTAGACATTAACACCGTTGAATATTGGTCTTCAAGTTGAGCGTTTGAGCTAGAGACCGAGGGTCCTTGACTCAAGTCCTTCACAGGGGATCGTAGATATGTACGGATGAGGTGCCCCATACTAGGATGCTTCCAGGTTCTCAATGGTAATCTAGCTTAGCTTGATCACTGAATCTAACCATTAAAAATTGTCAATTTAGTCATTTGTTCTAGAAAAAAAATTATGCTCTCTTTTTCTACATTATTATTGACTACAATTTGCCCAAAGAGAAACCATACAAATTTAACATCAATACACTTATTTTTTTCCCTTATTAAAAGGTTCAATTCAAGTGGATCTTAACAATCTATACCAAATGATTTGCAACTTCAGTATAACAATATCTTATTTTACCAAGTTGATAAAATAATCATTGGGGAGCCAACTTGATTCAAACATAATAGATACTATTCTATTATGAAGGTTATTCCTGCTTCATCAAAATTTATATAAGGGAAACATGAATTATTTCAACAATATTTCGGGATATTGAAATCTTTAAAATAGAATAAGATTCCATGAATATTTCATATAGGAATGTAAAATTTCACCAATAAGAAATGTGAAATCAATGATTGGCTTAGTTCTATTCAGTGTAGGAATTTTCGACAGTTTTCATTCCTGAGAACTTCGTAGTTTGAACCAAGAACCTTCAATTCTTCAAATGAATACCTGACCTTAAGAATAAGAAATTCAAATCCAGTGGTTCAAAATTTTCGTTTCAATTAATTCGCGATATTTTCTCATCGATCATCATATACCGTGTTCCATGAATATACCGCTCCAATAAATATATACTGAAGAAGTTTTCCATATTTGGTCGAAACAGCTAAGAAACACTGGCTTTTGTAATATATCTATCGATATCAATGTGTGAAGAAATACATTTATAAGTAGAATTAAACACTACTGAAATTTGACTGCCATTAGTCTTCTATTTAGGTTTTGATACATATTTGTAATCTCCAGACAGAATTTAGTAAAATACATACTCTTCCATCAACTTTAGTGAGACGAATAAAACAACCACCTTCATGGTTATCGGTTAATAATTAAAAAAGTGGTAAACAATATGACTTTAAAACATTTCAGTAATCTAAGCAATGATCAGTAAGGTTTTACATAGACTTTTATTTCCATAAAATCTTCATAGTATCATCATAGGTCTGAAAGAAAATCATTTTCTTACAAGAAATGATGAATAAATGAATTAACAATTTGTTGTATGAACAAGATAACTAAAACCGATGAATCATTAATCAGGGACTAATGTGCCATTTGACCAGACCATTAAAAACACTAAACACGCATTCTTCTAGTTACAATAAAAAACTGGGATTGTAGTAATTTCAATAGTTGGATTCATGAGTCGATCACCATTGAAAACTTAGTAGTCCTAGTATGAGACTCCTCAACAGTGCGCATCCATGATCCTGCTCCGTGAGACTCGAACCCAGGACCTATCAGTTTCTCGCGCGAACACTTAAACTCTAAACCATTGAGCTAGCATGTAACAGTGTTAATGTCTAACTTTCATGAATGGCTACGCAACCATTCATCCATTGTATGAGGTAGGTGCCTGTTTTTACCCAACACGGATTGGACTCCACTGGTCACGGTTTCTCATAAATTCAACTATTAAAGCTCGTAACTCTCTGAAGTTTCGTTGCATTTTTGTAATTCTTTCAACTGACAATTCGATCACAGTTATACAGTTATCAACAATCTTAGAATACTGGATGGTTTTTTAGAAAATAGTAGTTATTATATTACAAAAGATTTAATATTGAAAATACTATATGAAAAGGTATATATGAAGAAATAATGAGGTTGAGAATCTAGAAGAACATTAGGAATGAATACATCTGTGTTATTGCTTTTAATTCTAGGCTGTTTCATCTAATGTCTCCAACCATTGATCATAGCTATAAATGATCCCTAGTAGTCTACATCTATCAAAATGAATTAACCCCTAACTTTATTCGAATCATCTTACACACTACTAGTAGACATTCATCATCTATATAGTTGATGATTAGAAATATACAATATTTTTCGTAACCACGTCAACTGATAAAGGCTCACAACTTTATGTCAACCCATTTAGTATCTTTACTTAATGCTCTATGATTAACCTTAACATTAATGGTGATCACTTTTACTCCCAACAAATCTGTCTAATGACTCTCAGATTTTAACAGTAAGTCAGATCAGCTAATTTTTAGGATTATATGTAACTTAATCAATGTTCACGGGTAGAATATTAGATCATTCCATTCCATTCCATTCCATTCTATCTATCTATCTATCTATCTATCTATCTATCTATCTATCTATCTATCTATCTATCTATCTATCTATCTATCTATCTATCTATCTATCTATCTATCTATCTATCTATCTATCTATCTATCTATCTATCTATCTATCTATCTATCTATCTATCTATCTATCTATCTATCTATCTATCTATCTATCTATCTATCTATCTATCTATCTATCTATCTATCTATCTATCTATTTATCTATCTATTTATCTATCTATTTATCTATCTATCTATCTATCTATCTATCTATCTATCTATCTATCTATCTATCTGTCTAATCACGCATCTATCTATTTATCCTCATCAACATCTATCCATCATTCATGACTTCTCATTTTGGGCACTTTTTATGTGAAAAATTCACTTATTTTCTTTTCTTTACGTTTCATTAAATTTGTTTTATCCCGTTTGATAGATAGTCAAGGTAGATAAATTGGTTTCACACTAGATAAAGTGTACTAATTTAATTCATTCTGTGGTTTACACCAAACTAACAAACATGTTTCACAAAATGTTTTTCATTCTCCATAAATCTAATAATATTCAAAAAGAATATTAATGATAATGAAAGTTCATTGATCCATTAAAATAAATGATATCTCTTTTTATTTCTGTATTATTTTATTCCATTATTACAAATTAACACTTCAACATTAGGCTTATTCATATATTGTGAAATGATATGGTGTGATCGCTAACACTCTTCACTTTCTCCCTCTTTCACCCACACCCACATGTATACGCATGCACACAACCTTGAATATACACTAAAAAACCTCCCCCTCCCTTGTTCCCTTCCACACATACTTCGTCTTTCACATAGGTGTATATCTACATATATAATATTACTTCCAAAGTTGATGTTACACCTGCAGAATATATATTTTTTCCTTTATTCATCAAGATTCAAAACAGTTTTGCGTTATGTTAAGATTTTTATTCCAAAAATGAAATGTATATTCATATCTTTTCATAGTTCCTAATTGATCACATCTCTCCCCCCCCTCAATTTCTTCGTCTACTATTTTTGTCATTTCTTACCACAATTATCATAAATGTTTTTTTTTCATATTTTTAATCTCACATCAACTAAATAGGAGAGTTACAACATTAAAGGAAAAAAAAAACAAAAAATTTCTACCACCAACCTAGTCTTGGAATAAAAAAATAGATACTGAACCCCCGTTTATCATTATTCTAGTCTCTTGTCCGTGTGTACATTGGAATTAATTTATATACATATATACATACACATACAAAAATAATTTTTTTGAATTTTCGGTAAAAAAAACAAACAACTAGACTACTTAATTTTTCCGCTTAATATACCCTGAAACAATTGGATGTGTTTTTCCTATGATTGACAAAAAAAAAACAAAAAAAAAAGAACAACAACTATATCACATTCAATTCAATTAACGTTTAAATGATTCTCGCTTCATTGAAGTGTAGCATCAATGATGGTTTGATAATTAGGGAAATATACTGATGATAATTGGAGTGTATATAAAAACAAATAAACTTGATTATATTGTAGTGTTTACTTGTTACATGTTAACATGAAGGATTCTATTATCTTCAATATAGAGGCGCTGGTACTATAAGAATATCAATGGTAATTGTGGTAATGATTAATATAGAAAGAAAATGTTTAATAATTGAATTCATGAGTCAATTGAAGTTAGATCAACATGGAAAATCTGGAAGCAGCGAACGGCCGTTTCATCCCAGTATGGAACTCCTCCACGATCCCACCTCGTGAGATTCGAAGTCAGGACCTATCAGTCTCGCACGCGAATGCTTAACCTCTAGAACACTGAGTTGGTCGGCATTCCATGATGTTAATGTCTAACTTCAATCAATTCACGAAATTGCGCCACCGTCCATCATTTAAAAAATAATCAATTTCTCAGAAGAAAAATCTATCTTTTAATTATGTTTCTTGTTAGTTGAAAAACTCATCAACAATCTTCATGAAAATTTTATTACTTCTTTACGATATTTTAATTCAGCTCCATTGTCTTAACAGTAATCACTGTGCCATAACTGATCAATGTTAAGTTAAATTCCTAGTTGATTAGTGGAATTTAATTACCATTCAATACTAGACAAACATGATATTGATCATTAACTAGTTATCAATTAACATAAACTATTCAATAGGAAAGTGTTATAAAGCTTTCTACCTGTTAAAACAGTTCTTTACATGAATATGTTTTGTAGTATTTCTTCAAGTTAATGAACTTCAGTTAAGTGTTTGGAAAATTGGGTTCTAATTTCATATAATTTTTTGGCAACCCGTATGAATATCTGGGCTACTTGTTTCTGTCATCTACATATTTCAATAAATTATCTGTTTTCTTGTTTATTTTAACAGATCATTATGTCAATTAATTGCATAACCTATTCAGGTGCATTTATGGAAGATTTACAACCTTTCGTTGCCGAATCAGAGACATA